GTCAACTGAGCCCTCAGTTGTCCTGTCACTATAGTCCAATATTTGTTGGGAACGCCCGTTCTATTCCGCAAGTACATAGTTTTTTGGGTTTCTTGGTCTGTGCAGCACGGATAGCTTCGGCGCAAGGTATCTGCGCTATGTCGCAAGTGCAAATTCGTTTTTACCAAACCTTTTGACTTTGCGGTGCATGTGAAGATAGGTAGCACCAAGTCGTGCGGGGAAGCCGCAAAATGCGATTGTGTGCCAGAGGAACAAAACCACCCTCACGCAATCATCAGAACAAATGGGCAACCTGTTAAATGGGCAATAGCATTGCCATCAGGTCAATGAATTGCAGAGAATTCATGCACTGCGGGTTATAAAGCTGTGAGTATGATGCTGGAAGGTCTCCGGCAAGTGGAGGTTATCAGCAACCTCGAGGTTCGAGGTGCTCGGGCTCTTTCCCGGAAAAAACCATTGTAAATTTAAAACGGGCTCACCTCGACTCCGCTGCCGTTCTAAGGGGAATTCCACCCTGGAAGGACTCCACCGACCGCCTGCATGAACTCCACGGACTCGCCCACATATGTTGCTGAAAACTCAGGTGTTTATCTTGGCATGCAGTGTGAAGATGGCAAAGAAGCTTTTGCGGTGCTTGGCAGCCAACGGACTTGCCTTCCTGCGGGTACAGGTGTTTCCCGGGGAATCGGAGTCAATCGCCTTCTCTTGGAAAGCGTTGCCCGTTCTTACGTATCGTTCTTCGAATGCCTGGAGAAGATAGAGCTTTATTGTTCAAAGGAAACAACATCAAAATGTTGTGGTGAACAAAACATTTGCTTGTTGTTTCAGTGCTTGCCGTTTTGCACAACTTATTTCCAACGCTTGATCAGTTTTATGCTTGTTCATGCAGGATTTGTATTTACTTATACACCCGTCGCAGCGGGACCTCTCAGAGGGCAGGATGCCCGGAAAGTGCTCTTAGAAGCTGATAGATTGTTTTCGAAAAACCCACCCTCGCCGCCCTTGTAATCTAATGTAAACGTTTTCGCAACCACGTCAGGAGAGGACTCGTGTGCATACGAAGTCTCCGGTAAGGGACCAGGCAGCTCAATGAGCGTGTGCAATAAGGAACCTTTGTTAGTGCGGGCCTTACTTCATGTGGTGACAGTTCCGCTTATTTGCTTGACGCATAAAGGCTCGAGTCTTGCTCTTTTCATCGCTGTACTTTTCTCAGCACTCTTCATGGCGCGGTCGTTGACGCGCGATCAGCTAAACGATTTTCGGGTGTGGCTCCACTCTTTGAATATGGATTCCCTCATGAAGGTGGCTGAGGTATTGGACGACCTCATGGCAGACCGCGAGATGCGGCGACAGGAGGCTGTGGCAGCTCGTCAGTCTCAGTGGCAGTTTGTGAACCCTGCACCTGACTTGGAGCAACCAAGTGAAGCTGCCTCGTCAAGCTCTCAGAGACAGCCAGAAACTTCTTGAACTGTCGCTCTGAACCACATGGATATCCTGTTCAGGCCGTCACACTTAGGCCGAACCTGTGAGAGACCGTGAGTTAGCTGTATTTTCCTTTCGAAGGGGAAAGGAGCCCTGTGTCTCACAGGACATTTCGAGACTCAACAACAGTCTTGGGTCTTACAGGAGGGATCGAGATCCAACCAGCCGTGCTCGGTACTGTTTCCCCACAACGTGAAAAGATGCGAACGAGAGCGAGTGATGTGAGCAGAGTGCATGTTGCTTGATGAAGATTGTGTCATGCTTGAAGTGTTCAAGCACAACGTGACATTTTCATTACAAGCACGGTTTTGAACAATAATGGACTCGACGCAGGCCTTGCGGGACCTGCTCAATGCCAGCCTTGTGTTTGAAAGGAACATCAACCTGCGGTGCAGGCCCTCTCACCCCCCCCAGGAGGTGCGAGGTGCTTGGCAGCGCCGTCACTTTCCAGCGCCGCCTGATAGGCACTGCGTTGGGCAGAAGCTCCGGGTAGTCGCCTTCAGCACCGAAGCTGTAGATGGCGTGGCAAAGAGAGAGGCCCTTACCTTGCGTTCAGTGCGGAGAACAATGCACGTGGGTCTTTCTTAGCAGTGTCGCCGCCCTCTTCTGGTTTGTTGGTTGGTTGTTTATGGCTGCTTTGGTGGGTTGGGTGGCTTCTTTTGTTCTTGGTTTTGTTGCCTTTCTCTGGCCATTCGTTTCACACCGAGTTGAAAGACCCATAAGAACGGCCTACTGTGCTGCTGATGTAGTAAAGAGGCGCCCGCTTTCAAAAAAAGATGACAACGAGATAAGGCGAGCCAAGCTCTTCCCCGCACCCACGGCGCGGTGAATCTGCATCCAGGTTTTGCTAGCTCGGATCTGGCCAAGGCCTTGCCGAATGTCGACGTGGCTTTGCGAGACGAAGCGCAACAATTAGGGACTCCGTCTGCCAACAGCATTTTGGCTCACATCGGAGCTGCATGGATGTCATGACAGGCAACCATTGCCAGCCGGCAGGCAGCTCCTGCCCTGATGATCATTTTGTGACTGAACTCCTTGAACGAAAAAAAATGTGGGCTCAATGCCATCTCGACTTCTCCCTTTGTGCCGTCTGACCTTGAAGAAGTGTTGCGCGAGCAAATACAAAAAGGTCCGGGCCCGTGGCGGAGACAAACCCGCGACCGTCGTCAGCTGGGGAACACCCGCTGCACCTTTCTGTTAAGGCGAGTTGGTGCCCTGCGGCGCTTCGAGGCCATCACTACAGCATGCACCGCCGGCTCTACATATGGGGTCCTCATCTTCGTAACGCGCAAGGCCTCCGGTTTTCTCTTCCAGCTGGCTTTGCCAGGGCCACGGCCGCTGACGCTTCCTGCGCGCGCAAAGGACACATCGAGTACAACGCGTACCTGAAAGCGAAAGCCAGTCTTTGGCACAGCACTGAGCCCGGCGTGTCCAGGACAATTAGTCAACATGCGTTCCGCGCCGCCAGAAACCCGGGTTGGGGGGCTCAAACATCCTCGCGCCAAGTGCATTGCGCGCCGGATGCTTTGCGTCAAGTCCGTTGTGCCAAGTCCTCTGTGCCAAGTGCATTGAGGTGCATTGCGGAAGTGCATTGTTCCATGTGTCAAGTGCATTGTGCCAATATGCCACGTGCATTGTGTCAAGACCAAATGCATTGTGCTGATATACTCGTGCGTGTGCCAACTGCATTCTAGTGCCAAGTGCATTGCGTCAAGTCCGTCATCAATCAATGTGCCAACTGCAGAAAAGAAAAGTCCAAGCAGTCCAAGTGCATTGCGTCAAGTCGCTGTGCCATCAATGTCAAGCGCATTGCGCTTGTGTGCCACTGGGCCAAGTGCATTGTCACATGTGTTGTGGCAATGTGCCAGTGCATGTGCGAGCCGCATTGTTGTGCCAAGTGTGTTACACTTGGATTGCGCCAAGTCCGTTGTGCGAAGTGCACTGTGCCAAGTGCATTGTGCCGTGCATTGTGCCAAGTGCACTGCGCTAATGCACTTCCAAGTGCATTGCGCCCAAGTGCGTTGTGCCAAAGTGCGTTGCGCTTATGTGCACGTACCTGTGTCAGGTGCATTGTGCCAAGTGCGTGCCAAGTCCAAGTGCATTGCGCCAAAGGGCATTGTGCCATAGTGCCAAGTGCATTGCGCAGGTGCTCTGTGCCAAGTGCGTTGTTCCAGGTGCATTGCGTCAGTGCCAAGTGCATTGCGCCAATGTGCCAAGTGCATTGTGTCAAGGCCAATTGCATTGTGCTAATGTACCCGTGCATGTGCCAACTGCTTCTAGTGCCAAGTGCATTGCGTCAAGTCCGTTGTGCCAAGTGCATTGTGTCAATGTAAGAGCTGCGTGCTGTGCCAAGTGTGTTGCACCAAGTCCATTGTGCCAAGTCCGTTGTGCTAAGTGCACTCTGCCAAGTGCATTGCGCTAAGTGCATTGTCCCATGTGCCAGGGCCAAGTGCATTGTGCCAAGTGCATTGTTCCAAGTGCATTGCGCCCAAGTGCATTGTGCCAAGTGCGTGCCAAGTCCAAGTGCTCTGTGCCAAGTGCATTGTTCCAGGCGTGCTTTGTGCCAAGTGCATTGCGCAAAAGGGCATTATGCCGAAAGGCATTCTGCAAAGTGCATTGTGCTGCGTGTGCCAACTTGCTCCAGCTGTGTTGTGCCGAGTGCACTGTGTCAAGGCCATTGCGCGCAAATGTCCCAAGCATTCGCAGTGTTTTATCTTAGTGTCTTATCTTAGTGTCCTCTAAACATGTTCGATGTGTGAAATTTGAAACATTCGCAGTGTTCTGTCTTAGTGTCCTCTAAGCATGTTCGATATATGAAAATTGAATGGCTGGCTTGGCTTTGGCTGGCTCCGGTTTGGTTCCGTAATGAGTAGTGTTTGGGTGGCCTCGGGGTGGGCATGTCTTCATACTATTGCGTTCAGCTGACCAATGCTACACCCTAAACCCTAAACCCTAAACCCTAAACCCTAAACCCTAAACCCCAAACCCTAAACCCTAAACCCTCAACCCTCAACCCTAAACCCCAAACCCTAAACCCTAAACCCTAAACCCTAAACCCTAAACCCTAAACCCTAAACCCTAAACCCTAAACCCTAGACCCTAAACCCTAAACCCTAAACCCTAAACCCTAAACCCTAAACCCTAAACCCAAACTCTAAACTCTAAACCCTAAACCCTAAACCCTAAACCCTAAGCCCTAAGCCCTAAGTCCTGAGCCCTAAACCTTAAACCTCTGCACCTTCATGCTGCAGCTTTTGAGCCAAACGCTTGTGAAGGCAGCATGAGAGCCTCCTGATTTCCCAAACAACCTGCTTGGCCCACTGAGCGGATAACTTGCAACCTCTTGGGGTATATACCATCCTACCATAACTGAAAGGTTAACCTTCTGTTAAGCCAGGTGCTCAGCAAACTTGGCCTACTTACTTCAGTTCTAGGGTTCCTGGGTTTCGCGTGCTTCGGCGCTGTGAGGGTTTAGCATTTTGTGGGGGTGCTTTCCTTAGGTCGTCGTATGTGCAGCCATGCAGACGATCCATGTGCTGCCCCCGCACATCGCTTCGCAGGAAGCCCAGATACAGTTTCGGATATGCGAGCCCGAGGCGTCCACGATGAGCCACCTGGAAACAGGCAACGAGTACGTGCGGCAGCTGAGTTTTTTTGGTTCCGACAGCGTGGACCCCAGCCCAGATCCATCCGAGGAGGGCCTCGAGGTACAAAACGTGCTTGGCCCACCCCTGGAGTTCCTGCCCAAGGACATTGAGCCCCTGGAGCTGGATGCCTACCGCGCGGACTACCAGGCTTTCCGTGCAGGGAATGCCACGGGTGCTCGCGGGGAGATGGCCAGTTTGTGCGCCTCTGTGAGGGAACGGAAGCTTGAGTTCTCAGCATCGCAGGGCTCCTACAAGACAAAGAAACGAAGGCCACGGCTGGTGCCACTGATTGGCCTGGACCTGGCGACCAGCAGCGCTGTCCTCAGCGCGGCCTCTGCGGCGGATGAGCACTTGGAGGCGATGGCCCAGATTCGCAAAGCCATCGGCCAGCCTGAGACCAGTGAAGACAGCGGCTACGAGCACGGCCACCATGGAACTCGCGCACCTCACGGACAACTTGGCCAGCCCGGTCCGCTGCCCGGTCAGCCCGGTCAGCCCGGCCAGTCCGGCCAGCCCGGCCAGCCCGGCCAGCCCGGCCAGCCTTGCGCCGTCATCTCCATCCCAACGCCACCCACGGCGCGAGACATGCGAGACCTGCGAGACCGGCGGGCCTCCAAGGAGACGGGCAAGGCCTCTGAGATGAAGCTGCGCGTCAAGGCCGACAGCAAGGGCAAGTTCGCGCGCCAAAGCAGCGCGCCGGCCCCTGGGGAGGTTCTGCCGAAGGCTGCCGCGAAGAGGGGCGCACTGCGCCCGCCAGGAACGCCCGGCGTGGGACCCGTGGGACTCAGGCCGGGTTCGGTCAAGGAGGAGGACCTCGAGGCTGACTGGCCGGACGACGGTTTCGTGTCACCTCCTTGGGAGCGGGCCACTACTTCATCACCAGTCATCGCCCAAACTGGAATCGGTTTTTTCACCCACATCGCCGTTTCTTTGATCTGCCTGGCTCCATTCTTAAATGTTCACTCGACGACGCATCGCTGCCTGTTTCTACCTTCTATGTATGCTGCCTACGTCACCGGCATGTGCTTGAAGATTGCGACCTTCCCACAAGACGTGGCGGAGCGCCCGCGTCGCTTGATCTCAAAAGTGCTGCGAACGGAAAGGCTTGTGCGGGAAGGATCTGTGCCAGTTTGGTTTCCGCCTTTAGCCGCAGTTGTGTACATCCTGATGGTCCTGCTGCTGGACATGGGTCATTCCTTTCCCTCCATTGCGCGGTCGCAAAGAAGTTACTTGAGCGCGACTCCACAAAGGCATGACTACAACTGTTGGGGCACCGACCAGCAGGATGTTTCGGATTGTGTCCTGGTACGGCATGCTGGCTGCACCATGACGGTCTCCTTCTACACCTGCTTCTTAGGGATAGCTTGGAATCAGTTTTTCATTTTATTTTTTGGGTACTGGAATTCCTAAGAAACAGCTAACATTCTCTAATTGTTGCTAAAGGTTCCCAAGTTCAGAAGAGGCTTGGTCTTCATGGCCGTGTGCAACCGAAGTGTCAAGGGATCCGACATCGTGGACAAGCATCGGAAGTGCCTTCAGGAGATCTTCCCATTGGAGGCGCCCTCCTTGCTGGCTTACGTGGAGAGCCGCGGCCGAAGTCTCATCCCTGAACCCCAAACCCCAAAAAGCCCTCTTCATAGAACCCTTCTTTGCTCGCCTTTTTTCCCCAAGGAGGAGCGTGAACTCCAACTCAACTTTTTGGAGATCGCATCGGCGATACAAGGCCACTTGCCCCAGACCTGCAAAGAAGGTTTCATTGAGATACACGCCCGAAGGCTGAAGGATTATGCAGTATGTAGGGCCCTATAAGCCCTGAGCCCCCCAAAGTTGCTCAACATCGGTGTCTCCTCAAGTCTGTTGCAGGCTCAGTCGGTCTTGCTGTCGTTATCCTGGACGCTGATGTCCTTCGGAGTCTACACCGAGCTGCTGCAGGCTGGAAAAGATGGACGTGGGCTGTTCCTCGCAATCGCCGGCCCTTGCGTGGGAGCCCCCAACCTGGGGGTCTACGACAAAAAAGGGATCCTAAATAGACTTTCCAACTCGTAGGATCCCCTTACAACAAGGACCCCAAGAAGGTACCCCTGATACCCTAAGACCTCAAATGGTTTAGGGCTCCGAGTTTTCCGGTGATGTTCGCCCTCCTTTGCCGTGTCAGGGGGCCAAGACCAGGACAGCGCAGGCAGGGGCTGCCACGTTCTCGGAGCCAAACCCTAAACACAATCCAACCCCTAAACCCTAAACCCTAAACCCTAAACCCTAATCCCTAATCCCTAAACCCTAAACCCTAAACCCTAAACCCTAAACCCTAAACCCTAAACCCTAAACCCTAAACGTAAGGCCTCAAAACTCTGAAGCCCTTAAACCCTCCCCGAAAACGGATAGCCCCTTAATCTTGCAAGCCCTTAAGCCCTGAAACCCCTAAACCCTAAACCCTAAACCCTAAAGCCTAAACCCTAAACCCTAAACCCTAAAGCCTGGTGGTCAGCTTCCCATGGTGAGGTGTCCTTCCTCACCGCTCTGGTCGGGACGTATGCGCTGCAGTACACGTTGCTGAGGCCCCTCACTGAGTTGAAGCCCCACCGCTCTGAAACCCTCAGACTCAGACCCTGAACCCTAAACCTAAGCCCTGAACCCTTAAACCCTTAAACCCTTAAACCCTTAAACCCTTAAACCCTTAAACCCTTAAACCCTTAAACCCTTAAACCCTTAAACCCTTAAACCCCGTGTTTAGGCACGTGCTGCTGCGGGTGATCCTCCTCCTGGAGGGCGTCAAGGCCCGCAAGCCCGGAGCCGAAACACATACTCGCCGCCTACCGTCAGGGGTTTCGGGCCTATAGAGGAAGCTCCATAGCTAAGCCTGAACCCTAAGCCCTGTGCACCCGCTGTAGCCCTGAAAAGCATGGGCCTTGCCTAGCACGCCACATGACGCCTGTTTGTGAAGAAGGCCAGGGCTGCTGCCATGGCCTTCTGCGACGAAGAAGGGGTGCGGACACCGAGATTTGGGACAGAAGCCTTGGCTTGTGACTTCGGGGGGCTTGGGGTGTGGGTTGAGGGTTTAGGGCTTCGGGGGGGGGGGGCTCAAAGCTTGGGGTTTGTGGTTCAGCTTTTTGTTTGGGTTGTTGTGGTCATTCTTTTCGAAGTGTACCTTCGGGTGTAGAGCCGGCAGTTTTAGGATCCATGCGCTTAAGGCGTGGGTTGACGGTTTTTGATCAGGGATTTGGGGTTCAGGGATCTGGGTATTCAAGGTGGTCAGTGGTGGTTGAAGTTTGCTGTTGGTCCGGGTCAGGTGGTTCCTTTCTTGGTCCAAAGGCTGAAGTCCTTGGATGAGATAGGGTTTCATGCAGTTTTCTGCTCCTGCACTTGGTGATGCGAGGTGCTACCCTTCACTTCAGGGCATTCCATCTATGTGCTGGTGCCCTAGCACCGCTCCGTGCTGCCCCTCACCCTCCAACCAGTAGTACTTTTGCAGGTCCACCAAGCCTCAGCGTGGTGACGGCAGCGCAAAGCCGAGGTGGTACTCGGTTCGGCGGAATGTGCAGGCGCAGAATGAGGCTTGGGGGGCTCTAAGACTTTCGCGTGGGCCTTGGTGCGTTCTAGGCCAGTTCACATCTCTGTCTTCTTCCACTTCCTCTGGTGACCCTAACCCTAAACCCGAAACCCTAAACCCTCAAAAAGTTCTTGCAAGAGACGCCTTGTCCAGGTCGGCTACCAGAACGCAAGTCCGATCTTCACGTCCATGCTGATCTGCGCGGCCGCGTGCTCTTGCTGGGTGGCCCCTTGCGCTCAGAGAGTCAGTATCCCTTTGGCCCGCCCAAACCCCAAAACCCCCTAAACCCTAAAACCCTAAAACCCTAAAACCCTAAAACCCTAAAACCCTAAAACCCTAAAACCCTAAAACCCTACAACCCTAAAACCCTGAAACCCTGAAACCCTGAACCCTGAAACCCTAAGACCCTAAGGCCCTAAGACCCTAAGACCCTAAGACCCTAAAACCCGAAAACCCTAAAACCCTAAAACCCTAAAACCCTAAAACCCTAAAACCCTAAAACCCTAAAACCCTAAAACCCTAAATCCTAAACCCTAAACCCTTATCTGTTTGGGTGGGAAGGCTTCCAAAAAAATGGCGGTCCCGCGAACGTGGTGCCCGAAGTTGTATAAACTCTCGGGAGTTTCAGATCCTGAGATCTTTCCCTAAACCCTAAACCCTAAACCCTAAACCCTAAACCCTAAACCGACCTCTCGGAGTTGCCCTTCCCAAAAAAAAATTGGGGATGCCGGTGGGGCGGGGGGGGGGCAGCAACTAGAGCATAGAACAGGCAGATGCTAGTACCTCCCTCATTCCCGCAACCTGAAGCAGGGGGAGTAGGCATCCCTACCTTATACAGCCTATTCGAGCCTTTAAAGGTCCCCAGCAGCTGATCAACTGAAACCCTAAACCCTAAACCCTAAACCCTAAACCCTAAACCCTAAACCCGAAACCCGAAACCCTAAACCCTAAACCCTAGTTCGCCGAGCCCTGCTCAGATTTCGGAGCTTCGGCAGCGGGGCATGTCTGCCCGCAGCTTAGTCTCCCCTGAGCACACCCCCCTCTGAGAACCAAAATAGCATAAATATTACACCCTAAACCCTAAACCCTAAACCCTAAACCCTAAACCCTAAACCCGAAACCCTACACCCTGAACCCTGAACCCTGAACCCTAAACCCTAAACCCTAAACCCTAACACATCATCAGTGTATGATCTAGTAAAAATTATAACGGGTCCCCAAGGGTTTCGGGGTGTCCTTCGGGGGGGTGTGGGATTTGGAATGCAAAGCTAGGGGCATTCTGGGCTTTGGATTCAGCAGCTCTTCAGGGGGGCTGCCCGTCTGAAGCCATCTTTGGACAAAAGCAACAGGGTTTAGGGTCTGGTGCGTTTAGGGTTGAGGGTTTAGGGTTTAGGGTTTAGGGTTTAGAGTTGAGGTAGGGTTCCCGAAGCTGGCAGTGCCACTGGAACGAGCGCCCCGATAACTCGAAGCTTCCCAAACCCTAGACCCCAAACCCCAAAGAATAAACACCAAACCCGAAACCCGAAACCCTCAACCCTAAAACCCTAAACCCAAAACGGTTCCCCTCAGGGTTTAGGGTTTAGGGTTTAGGGTTTAGGGTTTAGGGTTTAGGGTTCTAGGGCTTGGGGACCTAGGCTTTAGGGTTTAGGGCTTAGGGTTTAGGGTTTCAGGCTTAGGGTTTCGGGTTTCGGGCATAGGGTTGAGGGTTTTCGAGGGATATCTCAGCCCTCAGTGCCCTAAACCGTCAAACCCCCCGAAGAAATAACAAAGAAAGAAGGGCCAACAAAGGGTTTAGGGTTTTAGGGTTTTAGGGATTTAGGGTTTAGGGTTTAGGGTTGTAGGGTTTTAGGATTCCAAAAGCTTCTCAGCAGCTCAAGGTCTTCGGCCTCACCAGCCGCGGAGGCGTTTCTCTCATGGTCCGGGGCCCCAAGTCCTTTTTTTGGTCTTGCCGAGGGGAGGGGGAGGGGGGGGGGTACCTTTCCAGGGTTTTAGGGTTCTGTGGTCCTGTTCGTGATTTAGAGCACCCCCGCTACTACAATCCGGACTGTCAGTATAAGGGGGAATATCCCCATTCAGAGCAATCCCATCCAGTCCTGGGCCCTTCGGTGCCGCAAGCTTCCCCCCACGCTCCGAAAACCTTAAACCCCCCAACCCCCTCTAAATCCTAAATCCTGAACCCTAATAAATCCCCTTAAACCACCCCTAACCTCCCCGCCCCCAACCCGCCCCAGGAACAACCTCCCAAACCCCTTAACCCCCCCAACAGTCTTTCAGAATCCACCCAAACTTCGCCAAGAGCCATTAAATCCCCTGACCCCCCCCCCAATTTCGCTGCAATCTATAGAATTATTTCGTATGTAGACTGCTTTGTGACTTTTTTGGGATAGAAAAGGTCAAAAAGCACAATGTTTTTGAACAGATGTTGTCATATTTTGTTGAAATTTCAGACATACTGGTAGTATAACACATACATTCTCTACTCAAAATCCACCCCACAAGATCCCTCAACCAAAGCCTCAGGTTGTAGCCTCAGCCCTGGTCTCCTCCATCTTTGTCGGGGTCTTCCTCCGTGGCCCTCGCCGGTTTTTTTGGTTGCTTTCGCGCGTTGTTTGCGAGGGATCAAGATTTGCGGGGAGCTTTGGATGGCTTAAGGACCCTGAGCCGCAAAACCCTAAACCCTAAACCCTAAACCCCAAACCCTAAACCCTAAACCCTAAACCCTAAACCCTAAACCCTAGATCCTAAATCCTAAACCGGTCGAGAAGTGTTGGGGTTGAGGAATTGGCGAGTGGGGAGTTGCCTCCGGAGCCTTTTGGGCTTCTCCGGGTGGGGGGGGGGGGCGGGCTTTAGGACTTTAGGAGCCTTAGCAACATGGGGTCTGTGCTGCTCCTGACAACCAGCCCCGTCCAGGGACGCTCCTGGAGATTGGGAAGTTGGAGGATGCCCATGCGCATTGCCCCAGAAGGGAGAAGGAGTGTTTTTCTCTTGGGGTCCCCCAACATGCCAGCGCATCCTTGGGGGCTACCTCCATATGCAAGTTTGCGAAAAGAAGGGATCCCGAAACGTACCCCCCCCCCCCCACCAAAAAATAGTAGGATTCTCATATAATAAGGACCCCAATAAGGTACCCCCCAATTTCGGAAGTCCCCCATGTTGAACAACCCCGAATGTACAACAGCATGTCTAGATTCTGGCTGGTTCTTAGTAGGGAATGAGGGAATGAGGGAATGAGGGAATGAGGGAATGAGGTCCCCTATAGAATCCCTTAAAGGGTAAATATAGGGTACCTCTGTCCCTCATTCCCTACTGAAACCAGGGAGAGATGCTTGGCCATCCTGCGTAATGTTGGCCCCGAGGGGCAGTTTGAGTCATGCTGCCGCTGATACCATGCTGCCGCAAGTTTTTGCATTATCTGCCCCTAGACCCCCAAACTCTAAACTCCAAACCCTAAACCCTTAACCCTTAACCCTAAACCCTAAACCCTAAACCCTAAACCCTAAACCCTGAAGCTTAAACCCTGAAGCTTAATCCCTGGCATTTCTGATTTGTTAAGGTTCGCCAGCTTCGCATTGCACACCTGCGACTCGAGCATGCCAAATGCCTCAAGAAGGCATCCGTACAGGCTGGGCAGCTTCGAATATTAAATATGTATATATATATATATATGTGTATGTTATGGATTATCGAATCTTCCACACAAATTCAGTATGTATATTTGATTTTATCGGCTGCTTGTGATGTAAACTTATACCTCTACACATAGTGACATGGTGCATTCAGTATGTCATACATGTCATATATGGATCATACATATCATATCTGGTGCAAAGTTTCGGCATGGTTCGACAGTTGACCTCTCTTGGGGTGTAACTGGTTAATCTGAATTAACAGCAGGCTTTGAACGGCAGCGGAAAGAAGGTTTTGATATGCAGGTGTACAGGAGAAAGAGGTCCTTCGACAAAAGTATAGAAGAGTAGCGGCTTGCATATTTAGATCAGGGATAGACACAGGTTTTCATAGGATCTACAAACAGAGGAACTGGAGATTTCGCTGTTACAGTCGAGGAAAATACGTCTTTTCGTGTTCAAACATGGACAATTAGAGGTCGCCTGTTCAAATACAGGGGAGCTTAAAGGTTTCCATAGTACTCTATAGAGGCAGGGGCGTTTTCCTACGAACATAGAGAGGAAGTCGATGGTTTACAGCACATGGAACGATGCAAAACCTAGTTTCGATACAAAACCCCAAACGACACACATGCCCAGACATATTCCTGACACACAAATCCGGACCCGGTTAGCCGGCTGCTTGTTGTGAAGATACTCTTGTTGTTGTTGATGGGGTTTAGGGTGTTGTTGATCTGATGATTTGGATTTATGACCAAAATTGTCTGATTACCCCGAAAGCCCCTTGAACCTGAAACCAAACACTTAAACCCTGGAGCCCTTCAACCCTAAACCCGAGACGCGATACCCGAAACCCTAAGCCCTAAACCCTAAACCCTAAAGCCTAAACCCTAAACCCTAAACCCTAAACCCTAAACCCTAAACCCTAAACCCTAAACCCTAAACTGAAGGCCGAAACCGAATTCGGAACTAGGTGCCGCTGCCTTCTCCTGGGGACCGCCAGGTCTCGGACACTCCTGTAGGCCTCGGGGTGAGGGTTTAGGGTTTAGGGTTGAGGGTTTAGGTTTTAGGGTTCAGGGTTTGGGATCTACGGTGCTCTTTTGGGGCTCGGGGTTTTTTTTTTTTTTTTTTTTTTTTTTTTTTTTTTTTTTTTTTGGGGGGGGGGGGGGGTAGCATGTTTAGGTTACCCTCAAGGGTAAACCCCGAAGCCTGAAGCCCTGAATCCTAAACCCTAGACACTCAATTCCAAACCCTAAACCCTAAACCCTAAACACCCTAAACACCCTAAACCCTGCTGAACTGAAGGACTAGACACTCAACCCCAAACCCTAAACCCTAAACCCTAACCCTGCTGAACTGAAGGAGTGAATAGGGCTTAGGGTAAAGGGTTCAGGGTTTTAGGGCACAGGGCTTCGGGCTTAGGGTTTAGGGTTGAAGCTTTGGAGGGGGGATGTAGGCGTCGAAGCGCCCAGTAGGAAACGCAACACTTGAATGCTTACTGGGGTACCTATGAGTAGGGGTACAATGAGGAGGGCAACTGTGGCTGTTACCTTCTTTAGGGTACATAGACCCCACTTGTAAGTATACCTCTGAACCTTCACCCTAAAACCACCCTAAACCCTAAACCCTAAACCCTAAACCCTAAACCCTAAACCCTAAACCCTAAACCCTAAACCCTAAAACCCTAAACCCTCAGCAAGCTTGGCTGCAGGCTTCGTGCAGACTGCCAGCGCTTTCCACGAGCCACTCCTTGCACGGCCGACGCTTGGCGCAAACTTCCCTTAGGGGCCGTCTTGGGGTTTACTCGACAGGTGGTGATTTATGGGCCTTAATATGGTCCCTTACTTCCTTTTAGAGGGTTCTGAAGTGTGGGTCCTTGGGTTGTATGGGTTCCTGTTTAAGGGCCCATACTCAGGGAACACGTAACCACCCCAAGATGTACGTGAGTTTCGATTTCTGGGGTCCCATCATGTCAACCGGGAGAAATTTTTCGCAAGACGCAGGCTACCCTAAACCCTAAACCCTAAACCCTAAACCCTAAACCCTAAACCCTAAACCCTAAACCCTAAACCCTAAACCCTAAACCCTAAACCCTAAACCCTAAACCCTAAACCCTAAAACTCTAAACCCTAAACCCCAAACCCTAAGCATTGAGCGAATGGGCGTATGTTCAGCCTGAGGCCGCGCAAGCACCGACTGAGCCGCGCACGGCTCTGAGACGTTTCGGGGGGCTCTGTCACTATGGTCGCTATGGCGCCGAAATCCAAAGGATCATGATAATAGAAGAAAATCGTTTAATACAAATAAATTATTTTACTTCGAACATCCCCACCCTCTCTCGGTAGAGAAGCACTCTGGGGCTGGGCACGGTTGGGCACTCGAGGGAGACTCTGGGTTGCACTGGGGCTGGGCACTCCGGGGACAGGCACTCCAGGGAGACTCTGGGGTTGGGCCTCGGGGGTTGGGCACTGGAGGGAGACTCTGGGGTTGGGCACTCCAAAGGGACTCTGGGGCTGGGGATTTGGGGACAGGCACTCTAGGGAGACTCTGGGGTTGGGGTTGGGCACTGGAGGGAGACTCTAGAATTGGGCACTCCAGGGAGACTCTGGGGTGGGAGATTTGGGGCTGGGCACTTCGGGGAAATTCTGGGTTGGGCATCCTAGGCAGACTCTGAAATTGGGCTTCTGGGGTTCTCTGGGGTTGGGCACTCCAGGGACACTGGCACTCCAGGGATGAGCGAGGAGTAGACCGGGCGAGGAGAAGAGTTCCGGGCGAGGAGAAGAGTTCCGGGCGAGGAGAAGAGTTGAGTTTAAAATCTAACAACCCCACACCGAGGGTGGGGGATAAATGAAAAAATCAAATAAATCGAAAAAAATGAATAAATAAATAAATATAAATATACATATATATGTATATATATATATTTATGAATACATACTTCCTTGGTGCTTTCCAATTTTGTGAACTTTTGCACGGCCATGGACAACGGCAGCACGCAGAGACCCGAGACCCTTGGGGCAGTCTGAGGACATGCCCTCGGAAAGCTCCGCGGATGAGCACGACTTGGATGGAGCCCGGGGCCCAGTTCGGGTTCGAGGTTTGGGTTTTAGGGTCTAGGTTTTTTGTAGGGTTTAGGATCCAGGGTTTAGGGTATCGCTGCCTTGTGGAGAAGCCCGCAACTCGATGTCCGCTTCACTTTGGGGGTCTCCTCCGGTGACTCCAATGACCTGGAACTTGCCCCAACATGTCAAACACACAGCCCCGGAAACCTTAAACGCCTTAGCGAGCGGCCCCCAAGCGGCTCTGGATCTTGATCTTTTTTTTTTGCGCAGGTTATATATATATATATATATACATATATACATATATATATATATATTCGCATGTATACTTATATATGGTAGCATATAAACACATATACATGTTAATAAATAAATAAATAAATAAATATAAATATAAATATAAATATAAATATAAATATAAATATATATATATATATATATATATATATATATATATATATATTCGCATGTATACTTATATATGGTAGCATATAAACACATATACATGTTAATAAATAAATATATATATCTATATATATTATATGTATGCTCACCCCCCCCCCCCCCCAATGGACCAACCGCGAAATGAAAAGGACAGGAAAAACTAGTTGTTTTTGTAGTGCTTCGTGTTTTCTTGCGTGTTTTGCCTTATTTCTTGTGCTTTTTGTGCATTTCGTGCATTGTTGCACTTTTCTGGTGTTTTTTGCACTTTTGCACTTTTGCACTTGTTTTGCTTTTTGCACTTTTGCACTTTTTTGGCTTTTTACACTTTTTGGCTTTTCGCACTTTTGCACTTTTTTTTGGGGTGTTTTTTGCATTATTTTCATGTACTGTGCTTTTTGTCTATGCTTGTCTTATGCATAGAAATCCAGAAATCCAAACATCCAAAAATCCAAAAACCCAAAAATCCAAAAACCCAAAAATCCAACGTTCTCCGGACAATCTCCCAGGAAACTTTGGATTTTTGGATTTTTGGATTTTTGATGATTTTTGTGATTTTTCACATTCGAGGTTGGCTCATATTCGTTCTCCATTTTTTTTGAATGAAAGGAGGGCGACCATTCAAATGTACCCTTATCAGAATTTCAAATGCGCCTACCTGCTCGAAACGTGAACACTACATTCATCGCACAACTAAATAGCATGTTCAATAAGATTTTGAATATGATGTTTCTGTATATGAGGACCAGGTAAAGTCTTGCCTATTCAAATCACTGAGAAAAGCACGTACATGGGTTATGCACAGGCCTTTGCCAAGGAGGCTTCAACAGAGAAGGCCTATATGTGCAAATATCGACTTTTGCATTTGAAAGAAGCTGAAATATCCTTTTTTTCAATAAGAACCATTCTGGGATCACAGTACCTGCTGTTTAAGAAAAAGTCTATATCTCATGAACACCCTTTCTTTGCGATAACGATTTAGTTCTTCTGATCTTTTAATTCAAGCTCTTAATATTGCATTGCCCCCTGTGATTATTGCAGCACAGCCTGCTCGAATCGCATTAACGTCTTAACTACTCGATTGAAAACTGTATCAAAAAAGTCTAAGTAGCCTGTTCAAGAAGCCAATAAGGTTTTGAAAACATCCTACTCGAAAAGCCAACAAGAGGTTGAGCAGAAGAATTCAAGACAGTAATAGGGCTTGGGTCCAATACAGGGCTAGTGAACTGTCCCAATGGACCAACCGCGAAATGGAAAAGAAGTCCAAAAGTCCAAAAGTCCAAAAACCCAAAAACCCAAAAACCCAAAAACCCAAAAATCCAAAAATCCAAAAATCCAAAAATCCAAAAAATCCAAAAATCCAAAAATCCAAAAATCCAAAAATCCAAAAATCCAAAAATCCAAAAATCCAAAAACCCAAAAATCCAAAAATCCAAAAATCCAAAAATCCAAAAATCCAAAAATCCAAAGTTTCCTGGGAGATTGTCCGGAGAACTTTGGATTTTTGGATTTTTAGATTTTTGGACTTTTGGGTTTTTAGAGTTTTGGGTTTTGTGTTTTTTTTATGTTATTTGTGCTTTTTTCATGCTTTTTCGTGCTTTTTTGCACTTTTTGCACTTTTTGCACTTCTTGCACTTTTTGCACTTTTTTGCACTTTTTTGCACTTTTTTTTGCACTTTTTGCACTTGTTTTCACTTTTGCACTTTTTTTTGTACTTTTTGCACTTTTTTGTGCTTTTTGCACTTTTTGGTGCTTTTGTAATTTCGCAATATTTTTGCAAATATTTGTCCTCTTCAATGTGCTTTTCCAATCCAAAAAATCCAAAAATCCAAAAATCCAAAATCCAAAGTTTTCTGGGAGATTGTCCGGAGAACTTTGGATTTTTGGATTTTTGGATTTTTGGATTTTTGGATTTTTGATTGGAAAAGCACATTCAAGATGACAAATATTTGCAAAAATATTGTGCAATTAAAAGAAAACACCAAGAAGTGCAAAAAGTACAAAAAAGTGCAACAAGTGCAAAAAGTTCAAAAAAGTGCAACAAGTGCAAAACGTGCAAAAAAAACAGAACAAAGCACAAAAGAGCACACAAAGCACAAAAAAGCACGAACAAAAAGCACAACAAATGCACAGGAAGCACAAAAAACACAAAGAAGTGGACAGGGAAAGCATGGCAGGGTACAGTGTCTCGAGAACCTTGGACATGTCGATGTGGGTCCATTGGGGTTAGAGGTTGGTCCATTGGGGGGGGGGGGGCGACATATATATATATATATGGTACACCCCCCCCCCCCCCAGTGACATACCTTTTTCGCCTTGTCTCAATAACCCAGCTGCACTGCAAGCAACTCGCGTGTGCAATATAGCGTATTTCCTAGGGCGTAGACTAAAATACAACTAAAATCGCATACACGGGACAGTAGAAAAACCAAAAAACCAAAAAACCAAAAAAACCAAAAAAAAAAAACCAAAAAAACCAAAAAACCAAAACCAAAAAAAACCAAAAACCAAAACCAAAAAACCAAAAACACCAAAAAAAACCAATTTTCCGGGACTCTCAGGAAATCCCTATGAGGCTTCTCCAAGAGTCCCGGAAAATGGTTTTTTTTTTGGTATTTTTGGTTTTTTTGGTTTTTTTGGTTTTTTTTTTTTGGTTTTTTGGTTTTTTTGGTTTTGGTTTTTTTTGGCTTTTTGGTTCGCCTTCACGGTCACGAGGCAACAACTACGCATTTTTAAGTGTGCTTATGCTAATTGTGCTTTTCAGAAATAGTATACAAGTGGTCTTTCTAGTGCTTCAGAACTATTTGTTTCGTTATTATGTAAGTAGAGCCGCTAGTGTTTAGTGCATCTTTGGTTGTACTCAAGTGTAGTAGACCTTATTCAGCCATTACTTGGTGCTCTGGTAGCTCAATTCGCATGGATAATATTTGCCTGGTAAATGCGATTAATTATCTAGAAGCAGCATTTGCAATACTTGTCTTGAGAAAAAGCATTTATTGCTTAGAATTGTTTGCTTAAAAAGTGACTCCTACTCGTCCAGGAATACCCCAAAACCCTATAATCCAAACTTTACCAGAGATTCTCCTGAAAAGCTTGCGCTTTTGGATGTTTTTATGTATTTGTGAATTTGCTTGTGTATGGCCTTCACTAAGTACTTTTCTAGGATTCTTGTGCATTTTTTAAGCCTGATTGTGCAAGTTGCGTTTTTCAAGCATAGTATATATGTGGTCTTTATTGAATACTTCAGACATCTTTGTTTCATCGTTATGTAAGTAGAACCGCTATTTCCATTATTGTGCATTTTTAAGCTTGCTCATGCAATTGTGCTTTTCAGACATAGTATATAAGTGGTCTTTAGTGAATACTTCAGCAATCTTTGTCTCATTGTTATGTAGGTAGAACCGTTTCCATTTCCGCAAGTGTTTATTTCGTATTTGGTTGAGTATGGTCCTTTAAATAGATTCACTTGAGTCAAATTGGGCTATTTGCTTAAGAATTCCTCTAGTAGTTAAATTCGCATAGAATGAATACTTCAAAAAATGTTTCATGAATATGTAAACATAAGGTGTTTCATTTGACTTTGCAGATAGTACTTCAATAATACTTTGCCTGGTAAAACACAACTGTTTCAATGCATTAGTTGCTCAACAAAGCACTATTTGCCCTTTAAACACACTTTGCCATATTTGGTTGAATATGGTGCTTCTTTCGTATTTTGGTTGAGTATGGTCCTTTAAATGGTATTCACTTGAGTCAAATTGGGCTATTTGCTTAATAATTACTCTAGTAGCTAAATTCGCATAAAATGATTATTTCAAAAAAAAAAAACGATTCATGAATATTGTAAACATAAGGTATTTCAGTGGACTTTTCGGAGAGCATACTTTGCCTAGTACAGACACAATTGTATAAATACAGTATTTGCACTTTAAACGCACACTTTGCCATTTTTTGGTTGAGAATGGTGTTTATTTCGTATCTTGGTTGAGTATGCTCCTTTAAATAGTATTCACTTGAGTCAAATTGGGCTCTTTGCTGAATAATTACTCTAGTAGCTAAATTCGCATAGAACCAAGAAAAATGTTTCACTATTTGATTAATACTTTGCCTCGTACAAACACAATTGTATAAATAAATTAGTTGCTCAACAAAACATTAATTGCCCTTGAAAGGCACAATTTGCATAGAAAAACACTGATCTAAACATCTAAAAACAGCATTGTCCGCTTCAGATTCAAAATGTAGATTCTTCCAATGCTGGCTTATCGGGGTCTGTGAGGTGGGTGTCCCAGTAACTGTCCTTCATTACCCGGTGATTAACTACGCGACTTTTGGGCCTTCTTTGTTATTTTTGTTAAAAAAGGCCTAAAAAGGCCTAAAAAGGGTAGGTCGCTGGGGGGGGGGGGTAGCTAGTATATATATATATATATATATATATACATGTATATATATACACAGTACTGTATAGGCCCTGGACTGATATCTTGTGCTCAGGCGTTGCTGATGATCGATCGCGTGATCCTGATTTTAGAGCACTCGCCCTGGGGGACGACTGTGTTGTGTTTTTTGGGGCTTTGGAGAAATGGAAATATTAGTACATATTGTATATCTTGATTCTTATACATTCTTATCATGATTCATGTTCTTCTTATTCGTATCATTCTCATTATCATTATGACTATTTGTATTCTTACTGTTGTTCTTAAATCACCTTGCGTGTTGTTTTGTTGGAATAGAAGTTGTAAAGAACATGCAGGCAAAGTCCTCTGCCGAAAAAGGTTACGCTGAGTCGTCGCCGACTTCGAAGGGGCACCCTTAGATGGGCCCTGGGGTCGTGATACCAAGGGATTCGGGGATCTTCCTCCACAGGGCTACCTTTGTGTTCTTGTGTTGAAAGTTCTCGGTGCGCGAAAGTGCAGCAGCAGGTCCTAGACAGATCGCATGAAATCTGAACAGGAGGTGCTTATTCGAGTTCAGTTCAGTCCCCAGGCAGCACGATGTGAAACCAACCATCTTCGGGGTGGAGATTGGATCGAAATCCTTCCAGGCCCCGTGTGGGGTTTAGGGTTTAGGGTTTAGGGTTTAGGGTTTAGGGTTTAGGGTTTAGGGTTTAGGGTTTAGGGTTTAGGGTTTAGGGTTTAGGGTTTAGGGTTTAGGGTTTAGGGTTTAGGGTTTAGGGTCAATCCAGCTTTCTCTGAGGGGCGCTCCGTAAAGATCCGCGTCAAGCACTAGGTCAAGAGCCCCAAGCTTACCAGAAGCCTTAAACCTTAAATCCTAAACCTTAAGCCCTAAACCTTAAGCCCTAAACCCTAAACCCTAAACCCTAAACCCTAAACCTTAAGCCCTAAACCCTAAATCCATGGCCCCTTTCACCCGAGTCGGCACATTGTGGGAGCTCACCGAAACCCTGCGAATCCATTTGCAAACCCTGAGCCCTAAACCCTAAACCCTAAACCCTAAGCCCTAAACCCTAAACCCTAAACCCTAAGCCATTTTCAACAGGTTCCAAGAAAGGGAATCTGGGCTTCCTGGGTGGCTTGCGAACCCATATGGGCCTTTTTTTGGCCCTCAACCCTAAACCCTAAACCCTAAACCCTAAACCCTAAACCCTAAACCCTAAACCCTATACAACCCCAAGCCCACCAGACACCAAACCCTTGTTGTCTTGTTGGACAGGTGGTCTACGCTGCGCTGCTGTCCAACATCTGGTGGCTTCTGCTGTGCTTAATTAAAGGCTACTTCGGGGTTCTCGGTGCCCTAAATATTAGGCGAAAACCATCGTTGCCCTACCTATGCCCCCACTTAGAAGTACCTGAATGAACCTTCAAGTGGGGCTGGTTCTCGGTTCCACGGTTTCGCGGTCAACTTTTTCGTGGCGGAGCTTTGAACAATCGCGGAGGGGTCCCCTCGGTTTCTCGGTCAACTTCTTTGTGACGGAGCCTTGCAACAACCCACGGTGTCGTGGTAACACTGCATCTGAAGCCCAGGGGTTTCGTCTTTCGCCCCTCTTCTTCTGCCATGCGTTTGCCTTATTGGGTCCTCCTGATGGCTCAGGAAGGTTCGAGTAGGGGGACATGCCTAGGCGTCCGGCAGGACTTTGGGGGGGGGGGGGCATGGGAGGGGTTCCGTGACGTCGTGGTTGTTGCCTGTTGTGTGTTGTGCCTTGGCCTCCAGTCCACTCCACTCTGCTCCGCTCCGCTCCACTCCACTCCACTCCTGTACCTGAACCCTCAACCCCAAAGCCCCGACCCTCAGCCCTAAACCCCGAACCCTAAACCCTAAACCCAACACTCTAATGCGTGCGCCAGAATTACATGCCAAAGCCAGTCGGGTTGCTAGAATTCGAAACCTCCTGAATTCTGACATCCTCAGCCCTAAAGCCCGAAACCGGCAGAAGCCTGAACCCTATTCACCCCCTTGCAAGATGCTCGCGCAAAGGTACTTGCTTGTCTGGGGAGTGTTGATTCCCATCATCAACTACCACGATGACTGAGCCAGCTTCCACAGCTCTTCTCGGACCGGGTGGTTTAGTGTAGGGTTTTGGGTTGGGGGTTTAGGGTTTAATTAGGGTTTGGGGTTTGGGGCTTTAGGTCTCGTTGATTTGGTCTCAGGGTCTATAGGGTTTAGGGTTCACAGCGACTTGTCCCTTGTAGAAGAGTCAGCTGCATGTTTCCCTTCTGCTCGCGTCTAGAGCCTAGGCAGCCCAGGTGTGTTTACCGGTTCGGGTGGAATGCAAGCAGGCTGCTTTTGAAGAACGGTCAGCTTGCTCAAAGAAGCGGCGAAGACATTCCAGCAAGTTTCATCAATACTGTCAATAAATTTTAATACACGTTAGGACCCGTAGACGTGCAAGCCTCTCACGGAAAAGGGCTTGCCGCAGCCGCTTGCGTGTGGCTCTGACACCACAGCATGCACGTGGAGACAGGTGACGGGCCGACGAGATCACCCTAAACCCCAAACCCTAAACCTTAAACCCTAAACCCTAAACCCTAAACCCTAAGCCCTAAATCCTAAACCCTAAGCCCTAAACCTGAAACCCCAAACCCCAAACCCCATAAACCTGCGAGTTCATGAAGCGCTGCTTTTGTGGCCGAGGCTCAAGGTCAAGGTGCCAAAGATGCCAAGGACACAAGAGAGCAGTGCCTTCGCGCGTAGGGTGTTTAGGGTTTGAGGTTTCGGGTTAAGGGTTCAGGACCTTCGATGAAATGGCCGCCTAACTAGAGCTTTCACGACATACCCCTAGCACAAGAACAGAGTGCTCCGTAGCATTCCGGTAGCTCAAGACCCCGGTAGCTCAAAACCTCAAGATGACGGGATAGTCCCAAGAGCTCAAAGAATCCTCCCCGTCATGGTCCACGTGGATGGAGTCCCTCGCGACGGCAGCGAGCGAGGCGACCGCAGCAACCGCGACTGCGGCGACCGTGGCAAGCGCGACCGAGGCCGTCAATGCCCTGGACCTGGAGTTTGCGACCACGATGCAGGAAGTGGAAGTTGCCTTAGCCAGTGCTCCGCGCTCCGTGCGCATTCGTGGTGAGCAGTGGGCGCAGAGGCTGCAGTTGATGGCGAGCGTGAGGCAGCCCTTGTTCCAGAAAGATCGGAATCTGCATGCGGATCTCTTGCTGAAGTGTATTGTGGAAAACACCTGGACCGAGCCCCTGGACAAGCATCCACCAGAAGGACCACTTCCATGTCTGCCAAGGCACGTGGCGTGCTCCATGCGCAAGGCCCGGACCGAGCGCCTCAGGGCCAAGGCACCCAGGGCAAGCTCAGCGCACAGAGATCACAGAGATCACAGAGATCACAGAGATCACAGAGCCCAGCCCATCCAGGCCCAAAGCTTGGCGACGGCCGCCGTGGCAGCTGTGGGGAGGGAAGCGCACGCATCGAGGGCCCTCCAGGTATCTGTGGCAGCACCCCCGGCTTATGCGGCCTTGGCCGCCCGCGTCGCTCACCTCGAGCTGCAGAACAAGCAGCTCCGCCAGAAGCTGCTGGAGGCCCACCGACAAGGCCAAGGACAAGGCCAAGGCCGACAGCGCTCCGCCTCGCCCGTGGTTCGGCCTCGGGCGCGTGCGGCCTCCACGGTCTTCACGGCACCGTGCTCAGAGGCTGCGGCTCCTGCACCATCTGCACCTGCTGCGGCAGCGGCTGCCGCTGCGGCTGCCGCTTCGGCTGCCGCTCCTACGCACCTGCCCGCCGACGTGCCCGACGTGCCTGCCGACGTGCCCATCGTTGCACCCGCCGCAGCGTGCGCGGCTCCTGGCTCAGTGCACACTGCGCACGCGGCGCCCGCGGCGCACGCGGGGCACACTGCGCACGCGGCACATGCGGCGCAAGCACCAGTTCGACCTGAGGCTCGGCCGCGTGCTGGCCCGGTTTGCTGTCCGGGGCCTCCACCACCTGAAGGTGACACGGAGGCTTTCTTGAGGTACCTGGATGCATTTCAAAGCTATGCAGGGTCGCTTTTCGCGCCCCCAAAGCTCGATTCGTAAAGAGGGTCGGTGTGACGGTATACGGGCTTACGGCTTGTACTGCTTTAGGGTGGGATGAAACCAGGGAACGGTTACCCCAAAGAGAATGTTGCGCTTGACGGAAGACCTTGACGTTGCAATTCAATTCGCGTTTCCCTGCGCAGACTGATCAGTCACTGTTCGCTTCAGATGTTCTTGGTACGCATCGAATGGAAACATAAAACATATATGCACTCTACAAGCTTCTACAAGCTTGATGACTTGCTCATGGTCTGAGCTGGCTGGCGGAATGTTTCTTCGACTTGCGAAGATGAAGCCGATTGCAGCAGAAAGAAGGTGCACCAGTAGAATGTGCAGTTGTGCGGTGAATATATGTGCAGGGCGTAAGTGCTTGTGAGAAAGCCTTTGCCGCCAGCTGCTTGAGCTTTGCCAGCATGCACCCGCCATGCTGATGTGGTTGTAGATGTTCGACTTCGATTACGAGGACCTGGAGACAGCTGAATCCAGGCTGCAATACACCTTCAACACGCCCATTTCCTTGCAAACATGACCCTGAGCAACCCCGCAACCCCCGCACAAAACAGGAGATATCCCTGATTTGGCGCTGGGTAGCATAAAACCCGAGTCCGAACGTGTTGTTGATATTGGCCAACGCACGGCACGAAGGGTCTTGTGATGTCTATTGGGAGGCCAATGCTTCAGAGTTTCGAGGCAACTTCCCCCAGCTGCAGTCCCGAACAAAAGCTCCCCCCCCCCCACGCCCAACCCCCTCCCTCGAAGCAGAGCGCGCTGAATCCCGGACCCTGAAGTTTTCATCTGACACTCTGAAGCCTGCAACTTTTAACTTGCGGGAGAGAAGCGTCTCAGGATCCTGTGCCGGATCCGGAGAAGGCCCTGTCCCCTTAGATTCGAGAAATGTCGGGGGTTTAGGGGTTAGGGGGGTCAGGGGGGTTTCGCGGTTAGGGGTTTCGGGGGATTTAGGGGGTTGAAGCGGGTTTTAGGGGGTTTCGGGATGCTTGCTGTGGTTCGTTGATCCGTTTTTTGGGAGGGTTCAGGGTTGCTCCCGGCTTCTCAAGCCACCAGCAGCTTGAAGTTTCATGGGGGGCGCTTAGTAACTGGGGTCATATAAGCACCCTAAGAAAGGTGATGGCTACCCTACGTATAAGCCCACCTACTTCTAAAGTAACCCGAAACCCTAAAACCCTAGACCTTAAACCCTAAACCCGAAACCCTAAACCCTAAACCCTACACCCTAAACCCTAAACCCTAAACCCTCCCCAGTTAGAGTCTGTCTCTTGTGTGCCAGGAGAAGGCCCAGGAAGCTGCTGCGGCGGCACGGCTACTCTCTGACGAGGCGATGTTGGGGCTTAGGGTTTAGGGTTTAGGGTTTAGGGTTTAGGGTTTAGGGTTTGGGGTTGTGGGTTTAGGGTTTCGGGTTTAGGGTGGACCTGCCTTCCTGAATGTAGAGTCCCCTGTTTTTTTTTTTGCTCAAGCCTTGCAACCAAGGGATTGAGACCTTAAGCCCTGACTGTAAACCCTAAACCCTAAACCCTAAACCCTGAACCCTAAAACCTGAACCCTGAACCCCAAACCCTAAACCCTCAACCCTCAACCCTAAACCCTAAACCCTAAACCCTAAAACCTAAACCTTAAACCCCTAAACCCTAAACCCTAAACCCTAAACCCCAAAGCCTAAACCCGAAACCCTAAACCCTAAACCGTAAACCTAGGGAGCCCCTTCCAACGCCAAACCTCCCAAACCGATAGAATTCCGACGCCCAGAACCTGCATTGGCAACGGCAGAGGCCAAATCTGAAGTCGAACCTCCGTCCTTAAACCCTCCAAAGGCCCGATCCCATAAAAGAAGTTCCCAGGTCCAGAAAGTCCAGACAAAACTTAAAGCGCTCGATCCCTGAAAACAAAATCTTCCCGTCCGACCTGCACCGGGGCTTAGGGCTTGTAGGGTATAGGGTATAGGGTTTAGGGTTTAGGGTTTGGGGGTTTCGGGTTTAGGGTTCAAGGTTTTGCGGAAGGGGGCTCTAGGCAGAGTTGAAGATCGACCGGGGCCTAAACGTTCGAGTTCGCAATGGGACATCAGGGAATTAGGTGCTGCATATGATCCGCTAAAGGGCTCTACAGCACAATATAAGGCACCAGGTTCCCCAGTCCGTTTACCTAGATCTACTAGGTGAATAAACCCGAAACCCGAAACCCTAAACCCTAAACTCGAAACCCTAAACCCTAAACCCTAAACCCTAAACCCCTAAACCCTAAACCCTAAACCCTAAACCCTAAACATCCCTAAACCCTAAAACCCTAAACCCCTGAACCCTCCGCCCTGGCAGGCCTTCACGGTCCGCCGCGATGCCGTGCGGAGCCTCGCCCGCTTGGGGCCCGCGGCTGGGTTCGGGCGCCCGGCTTGGGGATCTCGGGGGGGCGGGGGGGCTTTCGGGCACTTTTCAGGGGTTGTTAGGGTTTTTTGGGTGCTCTTTAAGGGGTTTTCAAGGGTTCTTAGGGTTTTTCAAGGTTTCTAGGGTTTTGTTCGGGGTGTTTAAGGGTGGGTTTAGGTAGCGTTTTGGTCGGGTTTAGTTTCGGTTTGGTTTGCGGGTTTAGGTTCGTTTTTCAGGGTTGAGTTAGGGTTGAGTCAGGGTTTAGTGGTTTCAAGGGCGTGGTTTGGGGCTTCAGAGGTCAAGGAACTACAGTGTTGGAGGCGTTTTAGGGTTTTGAGGGTTTAGGGTTGGGTTTCAGCGTAGAGGGGTCAGGGGTGAAGAGGTCTGGGGGTTGAGCGGCTTCGGGGTTTCGAGCTTTGGGCTTCAGGGTTGTGGTGGTTTGTGAGGCCAATCCCTCAGCCGCGAACCTTGCTGGGCATCCCAGAACCCTGAGTCTTAAATCGAAATTCCAAACCCTAGTTTTGAGTCTCGTGCGAAGGAAAATGTGCTGGTGCGAGTGAGGGGGCTTTGGGCTTTCCGTCCTTCAGGGTGTCAGGGTTGCTTTATGCCCTGGAATTAGCAATTTATCGAACAGCCCTTAAGAATTTTTAGAGCAACTCCCAAGCAACCCTTCATGAGGAGATCCCCTAAAACCCTAAGCCCTAAACCCTTTAGGAAGCTAAGAGTCCTTCTAAGGAGGGCTTGGGGTGTTTGGTTGTAGGGTTTCGGGTATGAGAATCCAAGCTTCGGAGCCACCCTAAACACCCCAACCCCTAAGCCCTAAACCCTAAACTAAAAACCTTAAATCCTAAACCCTAAACCCAAAACCATAACAGTGGGCGGTTCGTACGAGGGAGTGAGGCTCAGTGAGGGAATTCGGTACCCCAAGCTGCCCCTTAAAAGGGTAGAATATATAGAATCCCTTAAAGGGTACTATGTCTCGGGGGATATAAGATAAAGTACCGCATCTCAGCAGTCCTTCCTGCAAAGAGCCTGTAGGGAGGGGGAGAGGTCCTGAAGGGAACCCAGAGAGAAACCCTCACTAAACCCTTAACCCTAAACCCTAAACCCTAAACCCTAAACCCTAAACCCTAAACCCTAAACCCTAAACCCTAAACCCCCACAGCAGCTGAAGGCCGTATCTTGTCCAACTCGTCGGGACCGCAGAGTCCGATGAGGATTACGAGGCCTGGCCCGGTCCAGAGTGTGCACTGGTGTCTTCCCAAGCCCTAACTAAACCCTAAACTTGAAACCCTTAACCCTAAACCCTAAACCCTACACCCTAAACCCTAAACCTTAAGCCCTGAACCCTAAACCCTAAACCCCTAAACCCCAAGCTCGTAGCCCTAAATCGTAAAACCTAAACATGCACAGCAGAACTCCCGCTTCTCCTCGCCGTCTTCTGAGCTCTTGCGTCGCCTCAGCAGGAGTGGTCAAGTCCGGTTCTGCGCGCCCCCCCCACAAGTAGGAGCGCGCTGTTGCTTCAGAAGTCTTCTTCCTTTTCCCAGAGCCTTCAACTACAACCCCAAGCAGCAAACCCTGTGGCCTAGCCACGTACTCGCTGCTGTGTAAACTTGCTGGGGGTTGGGTCCCAGCTGCGAAAAGACACCCTAAACCTTAAGCCCTCAACCCTAAACCCTCAACCCTCAACCCTGAACCCGAAAACCTGCATTTCAGGCTCTCAGATCTACCTGGAGGTTCACGATCATAGGGGGTACCTCCTCAAATCCCCACACGCCACCATCCCGCGATCCTGTACCTTAGGCCCGGAACCCTGAGAGTTATGCATGGTGAGCCAGCGCCGGGGTTGAGGTTTAGAGCCTAAACCCTAAACTCTAAACCCCTAAACCCTAAACCCTAAACCCTAAACCCTAAACCCTAAACCTCTCCCCCCCCACCCCCCACCAGCGCCCCAACAGAAAGGTACGGAAGGCTGCCAAGCAAGCCCTGCGGACGCTCCGGCAGCATGGGCTTGCGGCACCTCGGGAGGCCCGGTGTATGAAATCATGGGGCAAGTGCATACAAGGGGGTTTCGGGTTTAGGGTTTAGGGTTTAGGGTTTAGGGTTGTCATACATGGTGTGTGTTAGTTGGTGTCCATTTGGGGAGACGAGGCAGAAGAGGCATGGTTCTTACTTCCTGACTCTCATGCGTGTTCGTGTTCTCATTCACAGGAGTGTGATGCATCTTGTTCTTCGCATGGGGTGGGGCAGGGCCAAGGAGCGGTCTTGGGCTGGGGGGTTTGTCTTCATTGCGAGATGTTGAACCTCGACTGGACCCTAACACGCGTCCAGCCCGCCTTTGCACACACACACACACACATGCGCATGTGTATATGTGTATATGTATGTAGACATGTATACACATTATATTTAATTATATATATATATATATATATGTAAATTTCTGCCTATATACAGAGGATAGCTGCTTGTATATGTGAACTCAAAGACCTAACTAAACCCTTAGCAAAGAACAAAATCTCGAAACCTGCATCCCGATTCTTGGTGCCCGAGACTTTCGTTTCAGGGTTTAGGTGGGGTTTAGGGTTTAGGGTTTAGGGTTTAGGGTTTAGGGTTTAGGGTTTAGGGTTGAGGTTTTAATTGCAGAATTGGCGCCTTGTATCCCCGTAGATCACCCTCTAATGATTCTGCAAGGACCCAACTTGAAAGTTCATGTGTCCTTATGGGTAGAATTACGGGGACCTCCAATAAAGTTTAAACCCTAGTTACCCTACTTACAATCTTACTTGTTTCTGAGTACCCACGAACCTCCAAGAATGCCCGACTAATGCTTTTAAAACCTAACCCAAGCCTTAAACCCTCAACCCTCAACCCTCAACCCTCAACCCTCAACCCTCAACCCTCAACCCTCAACCCTCAACCCTAAACCCTAAACCCTAAACCCTAAACCCTAGTTTTCATCATCTTCAGCTCCAGGACAGCGGGGTCGCGCCCCCTCGCGTTCCGAGTGAGAAGCGGGCATCGGTCAGAAAAGGACGCCCCACGCGTCCTAACCCTAAACCCTAGACCCTAGACCCTAAACCCTAAACCCTAAACGCTAAATCCTAAATCCTAAACCTTCAACCCTAAACCCTAAACTCTTTCACCACCCCTAGGTCCACCCAAATCCTTTATATCAACAGCCTGTGTGCAAGGCAGGGTTTCGGATTGAGGGTCCAACTTAAAGTAACAAGTTCAAGAAAGAAGAACAGTAATGGCATTAATCAACAATATACACATTAATGGTTACACCAACATGGGTCCTTGGCAGCCTTGATGGTTCAAGGACTTCGCTTTGGCGCTTCTTCGCGTCTGCGCCTGCGTTTTGAGGGGTCACGAAGGTTTGGGAGGACGAACCCCAAAGCTGTGAACCACACGAAGCCTAAATACAGCCCGTCTCTCAAGTAGCGATTCGTTTTGGGTCGAAGGTTTGGGGTTTAGGGTTTAACCCTAAACCCCACATCCTAAACCCTAAACAATAAGCCGGTCGTTCTCCAGCAAAGTTTCGATTAGCTGGAGATGAAGGTGCTTGAGGTTCGGGCCGTAGCACCTCGTTCCCCTGAAGGCCATATAGCTCCCCAGGCCCTGAATCCGAAACTCTCAAGCTCAGAACAGGTAAACCTTAAATCCTAAACCCTAAGCCCTAAGCCCTAAACCCCCAAACCCTAAACCCCCAAACCCTAAACCCGAAACCCTAAACCCTTTTCCTGCTGAACCAGGACGCTTCGAGGCAGAGGAGGAGGAGGAGCCTCCTCGATTGTACGAAGTGGAGCCTCTCCTGGAGAAGGAGTGGCTTGGGCCGAAGGCCGGGTAGGGCCGTGCAAGTGTGAGGCCCTAAACCTTAAAACCTGAACCCTAAACCCTAAACCCTAAACCCTAAACCCTAAACCCTAAACCCTAAACCCCAAACCCTAAACCCTAAACCCTAACCCCCAAACCCTAAACCCTAAACCCTAGACTCTAATCCCTAAACCCTAAACCCTAAACCCTAATGTTTCAGGTTTTAGGGTGTCATGAAACCTGGGGTGCGCCAGCTATCTATAAACTCCTTCATGACCCTTCAATAGCCTACAAGTAGCCCTTTACAAGTAGTTTGCCTAACCCCCTTAGTAACCCTGGGGTTCATCCAAGATAGACTTCGAGCTTCAGATCCAACCCATCCCTCGCTTGTGCTTGGCGACGCGAAGTTGTGGAGAATCGCTCAACGTTTTCCCCCAAACCCTAAACCCCGAAACCATAGACAGCCACAAGCCCTAAGCCCCTGAAGCCATCTGAGAAGCCCGAAGCCCTAAACCCTAAACCCTCATCCGCATCGGACTGCAAGGTTGAAAACCTTAAGCCCTAAACCCTAAAGGCCAAACCCCAAACCCCAAACCCCAAACCCCAAACCCTAAACCCTAAACACTAAACCGTAAACCCTAAACCCTATACCCTAAACCCTAAACCCTAAACCCTAAACCCTGAACCCCAAACCCTGAACCCTGAACCCTGAACCCTGTTCAGACTTGGAGCCTACTTGCTCTAGCCTCGTGGTGGTCCGCATGTCCAGGTCTGCTTTGACATCAATGGGCAGCTTCTGGACATGTGCCTAGAGAAGGAGGTGGGGCCCTAAACCCTAAACCCTAAACCCTAAACCCTAAACCCTAAACCCTAAACCCTAATCCTAAATCCTGAATCCCAAGCCCTAAACCCTAAACCCAAAACAGGAGGTGGGGTGGAAGGGGGGCCTTCAAGAGCCGCAGTAGGAGAAGTGTGCAGTACTTGGGGGGTCTGCGAACATAAAGGGCCCTGAATATAGATCCCCAAGTTGTGGGATCCCCTTATGAGAAGGACCCCCAGAAGGTAGCCCCCAGTTCCGGAAACCCCCGATGTGTGCTACGTTCTGAAGAAGCTTGGAGTGGCAATTGCAAATCTTCAGGAGTTCGGCAGGACAGGTGGCCAGTCCGCTACTTGAAAAGGCACTGAAGACCTCGACTCGACTCCTTTCATCCTCGACTCGAAGCCGAAAACCCTAATCCCTAGACCCTGAAGCCTAAGCCCTAAACCTCCTAAACCTCCTAAACCCTAAACCTCCTAAGCCCTGAACCCTAGACCCTAAACCCTAAACCGCTGAAGAAGGCACCAGGGCATCCAAAGTGTCAATCCTGAAGTGATCTCATGCCTTGGCTGGGAGGAGGGGATGGGAGGAGGGGGAGGATCCCTGGAGTGCCCAGTCCCAGCAGACGGCCCATCCAACTCTGCAGGGTGGGGCTGTTCGAAGTGGGGTTTACGAAAATCAGGTATCCCTAATATAGACCCCCAACCGTCGGATCCCCGTATTCAATGGACCCCACTAAGGTACCCCTAGTGTCGGAAACCCCTTAAACAGTTGTGACTATGGCATTGTTTTTATACTGCTAGTATTGCTACTATGGCTACTATTGCTATTCTTGCTATTCTTGCTATTCTTGCTATTCTTGCCATTGTTGCTAGGATTGCTATTATTGATCTTTTTCGTATTTGTTATTGTTGTTATCGTTGTTTTTACTGTTATTATCGTTATCATTGTTATTGTTGTTATGGTTGTTGCTTTTGTTGCTATTGTTGTTATGGTTACTATTCTTGTTATCGTTCTGATTGTTATGATTGTCATTATTGTTATTACCACTAGTACTGTTGTTGCTGCCACTGTTATTATTATTGTTATTATTGTTATTACTGCCACTGTTGTTATCACTGCTATTGTTGTTATTGTTGTGATTCTTGTTATTACTCTGATGTTTGCGGTCGTTGTTCTGATTGTTATAACTGTGGTCACTACTATCATTGTCATTCTTTTTGTTTATGGTACTTGTTGCTGCTTGTATTGTGATATCAGCGCCTTTTTTTTGGCTATTTTCCCGAAAGTTGTTGCTGCTATTGCTATTATTCTACTTACTGTTCCCTGAACACCTCTTCTCCTTATTCGTAAATCGCCTTGACGGAGGTGGTGACTCCGGCAGAGGTCGCGGAGATCTGGGAGAGGCCCTTGACGTCCCAGACGCTGATCTTCCCTTATGGTCCATGTGTAAATATACTAGAATAGCCCCCCAAGAGCCCTTTTCTAATTTATAATTAATTATTCAGGCCCCTAGATTGACCCCGAGTCCTAGGATCTTCAGGGATTCAAGCTGAGGTTGCGCGCGCTTGCAGCGATGGTGTAGTGACAAGAGATCCACCTGAACCCCTACAACCCTGAGCCCTAAACCCTAAACCCTAAACCCTAAACCCTAAACCCTAAACCCTAAACCCTAAACCCTAAACCCTAAACCCTAAACCCTAAACCCTAAACCCTAAACCCTAAACCCTACAACCCTAAGCCCTACACCCTAGACGACCCCCGTTGGGGCTTCGGAGAAAGTGTGGCTTGCAGCACAGGGTTTGGGGAGCACAGAACAAGGATAAACCCCCCTTTAGGAACCCCTCCTCGAAGCCTGTCAGCCGTGGCTCCAAAGGTTCTCTGTGGCTTCGGGTGTTGGGTTTCGGGAGCATCGCAACTCTCAGGCGCAGAAGCAGAAGAAGGAGGAGAAGAAGAAGAAGAAAGAAGAAGAAGAAAGAGTAAGAAAGAAGAAGTCATCTGTGGCTCCTCTGGGCTCGAGCTCTCCCACCCCCAACCCCGAAGTCGCGAGGCCCCCATACCAGACCAGACCTACAGTCACCCAAGACCCTCACCCGCCTTCTCCGCCCTGCACAGGATGGATGCCAACCATTTCGTAAGCCCCAAGGAGCCCTCAGCCCTCGACTCCCACGACCCTAAACCCTAGCCCTAAACCCTCAACCCTAAAACCCTAAACCCTAAACCCTAAACCCTCAACCCTCAACCCTCAACCCTAAACCCTAAACCCCAAACCCCAAACCCCAAACCCTAAACCCTAAACCCTGAACCCTAAGACCCGAAAACCCCGAGCGACCCCAAGGCCTCTCTGCCTTCGACAGGCCCTGATCGCCCTAAACCGTCAGCATTCGAAGCCCCTGAGACGCATCCCCGCATCCCCGCAAACCCTAAACCCTAAACCCTAAACCCTAGACCCTCATGGCCTCTCGAGCACTCTGGTGCCTGGTCCTGGTGCTGGTGCTCTGGGCAAGGGGACGCTTGTCTCAGCAGTGGAGGGCCAGGGGTTGGGTTGACGGCTGTACGGTTTTCGCTTGCACCCTAAACCCTCAACCCCAGACCCTGAACCCGAAACCCTAAACCCTAAACCCTTTGTGTTAGGGCTTACTTTGAGCTTCTTTTGGGCACAAAGGAGGGGGGGGGGTGTGCGGATTTCCTTGAGGCAGGGATACAGTTTAGGGTTTAGGGTTTTCGGGTTGAGGGTTTCGAGGTTAAGGGTGCGCTCGGCAGGGTCACGCGCCTGGTAAGCACGCAGCAGGATGCAGACATACCCACCCCAAGGCCACCCAAACACTACTCACAACGAACCAAACCGAAGCCAGCCCAAACCCAGCCGTTGCAAACTCACATGCCGAGTATATGTTCTGGACACACTTGAATCACTCGAGACACTTGGACACTTGGAACACTCGGAATGCTTGGGTCACTTGCTTTGGGGATGCTTGGGACACTGGGGACCCGAAACCCTAAACCCTAAACCCTAAATCCTAAACCCTAAACCCTAAACCCTAAACCCTAAATCCTAAACCCTAAACCCTAAACCATAGGGGGCACTGGGGGACACTTGGGGTCGCTTGGGACTTTTTTTGGCCATTCGGACCACTTGGGACACATGCAATTATTTCGGGTTTAGGGTTTAGGGTTTAGGGTTGTTGGTAAACTGTTGGGGCACTTGAGGCACTTGGGACCGTTGACGCTTTTGTCGAACATGTTCAGGGGCACTTGAATCATTTGGGACACTTCGACACTTGGAACGCTTGGGACCGTTAACGCTTTCGAAGCACTGGGGACATTGGGGACACTTGAGTCACTTGGGTGATTTGGGACCTGGGTCGCTCGCGACCTGTGGGTCACTGGGGACACTCGGGTCACTTTGCACTTGTGGCATCCCTTCACTCATTTGGAACCATGTGGGACATTCTGCAAACTGTTGGTAAACTTGTGGGTCCAAGAGCCCGTGACCAAAATCGGCTTTGGCGGCTTTTCGAGGTTCTGGGACCCTTGAAGGTCCCCAAGCAGGTTTCCAAGACCTTTATGGAGGCTTCCAAAGCAGCTTTTGTTTTGGAGGGTTAAGGGGGAGGCCGACCCTCTCCCCATGTCCCAGGCTAGGCCTCCCAAAGGGCCTGCCACGAGCCCTAAACCCTAAACCCTAAACCCCAAACCCCAAACCCTCAACCCTAAACCCTCAACCCTCACCCCTGAAACCCCCTGCGAGGCTTCCTTCACTTTGGAGGCGTCCTTTTCTGCCGCCCCGGGGCCCTCCGCGCAGCCGCGCTGCGGAGGAGCGCCAGGCCGGACCCTAAACCCCAAACCCTCTCTACCGTAAGTGAACATGCATGAACAAAAAATGGTGTATGTATATCTATATATGTATATATATATATGTATTTACATACAAAATGTATATATATATATACATATACATATATATATATATATATATATATATATATATTTACATATATACACCTTAGTTTTGTTTATTAGGCCCAGGCTCTAGTCGAGATTGTAAGGCCACGTTTAGGTTTATTCTTTTTGTTGCTGTTGAGCATTTTTTCGCGCGAGAAGAAAATAGACATGTTTAAATTTTATTCATGTTAATGAGATTCTTTGGGCGGGTGGGAATGTTTCCAGCGCCCGACAAGCTGCTTGACTACTGAATGCTTGGACTTGTGATGCTGAACCCCAAACCCTAGATCCTGAACTGCCCTAAACCCTAAACTACCCTAAGCCGGAGACCCTGAACCCTCAACCCTAAACCCTAAGGTTAAGCCCTAAACCCAAAACCTTACCCACACCCCGAAGCCAACTCACCGAAGCGAGAGGAGCCTGTCGCCGGGCCACCGTGCTCTGGGCCGCGAGTCTTTCGCGGAGGATGCTGCCGATGACGACGACGACGACGACCGGGGATGGGGCCCCTCAGGGAAAAGTTGGCACTCAGGGTTTAGGGTTTGGGGTTTTGGGCTGGGGTTTAGGGTTTAGGCCTAAACCTTCAAACCTCAAGACCCTACTGTGAGTAGGGTTTAGGATCGCCCCAGCGTTGGATCCAGGCATTTCCTGGCTGCCCCCTCTGAACACTTCGGCGCCGGAGGCCTTGCCCCACAGAAGGGTTTAGGGTTTAGGGTTTAGGGTTCAGCATCTCAAGTCCGAGCATTCACTAGTCGAGCAGCTTGTCAAGGGCTGGAATAAAACCCCACCCACCCAAGAAACCCATAACATTGAGAAAATACAAAGTCCACTCAATACATTCCCAGTAGGCTTAAAGCTCAAGGTCCAATTGGCCGAAAAACCAAAATCTAATTCTCAAACCGGGGAGGGTGGCGTGGGGGGGTGCATTTGGGGGGTTTTGGAGGCAAACTTTCCCTAGGGCCCCCCCCGGGGGAAAAAAACCGTTTGGTCACGAAGGGGGTCAGGGTTTAGGGCCCCCCCGGGGGAAAAAAAACCATTTGGTCACGAAGGGGGTCAGGGTTTAGGGCCTTCCCGGAGGTAAAAAAACCATTTGGTCACGAAGGGGGTCAGGGTTTAGGGCCCCCCCGGGTGGAAAAAAACAATTTGGTCACGAAGGGGGTCAGGGTTTAGGGCCCCCCCGGGTGGAAAAAAACCATTTGGTCACGAAGGGGGTCAGGGTTTAGGGCCCCCCCGGGTGGAAAAAAACCATTTGGTCACGAAGGGGGTCAGGGTTTAGGGCCCCCCCGGGTGGAAAAAAACCATTTGGTCACGAAGGGGGTCAGGGTTTAGGGCCCCCCCGGGTGGAAAAAAACCATTTGGTCACGAAGGGGGTCAGGGTTTAGGGCCCCCCCGGGTGGAAAAAAACCATTTGGTCACGAAGGGGGTCAGGGTTTAGGGCCCCCCCGGGTGGAAAAAAACCATTTGGTCACGAAGGGGGTCAGGGTTTAGGGCCCAAAGGCTCGGTTTTGATCAAAAATCCAGAAAACGAGAGCCCACCCAGAAGCGTCGATTTCAGTACTAAAAAATCGCATTTTGAACTGGGACCCGGGCCGATCCTGGGGTCCCCCTCATTTGGGGTGTTTTTGGAGGCACGGCCCAGGAAAAAAAACCATTTGGTCACGAAGGGGGTCAGGGTTTAGGGCCCAGAAAAAAAAACAACATGGTCACGAAGGTCATTAGGGTTTAAATATACATAGTAAGAGAGGGTTTAGGGTTTAGGGTTTAGGGTTTAGGGTTTAGGGTTTAGGGTTTAGGGTTTAGGGTGTGTGTGTGTGTGTGTGTGTGTGCGCGCGCGTGCTGCGACTGCTCAAAGAACATGGACGCCACCCGAAACCCTAAACCCCAGGAGATGAGCACTGATTCATCATCAACCCTAAACCCTAAACCACTTTAAGCACCTGATGCCCTACTTATCTGGGCCCTGTGGCTACCAAGGGGGTGTTTTTTTGGCTTGCAGGGCCATTCTTAACAGTCATCTAAACCAGGGTTCAGTGCTCCGCACTGCGCCACTGTGAATGCGTGCGGCCATTCCTTCGCCGTTTTCCTGTTTTGGATGAAACCCTAAACCCTAAACCCTAAGCCCTAAACCTAAACCCAAATCCCATTCCGGTGTAGACCTTCACGGTGCTCTTTCTCCATGCTTTGCACGTTCTCGACACTGGAGGCCAGCGCGGAGGGCACGGTACTGCCCGTCTTCCCGCTTGGAGGCTTGCGGCCTAGGGTTCAGGGTTTAGGGTTTAGGGTCAGGGTTTCGGGTTTAGGGCTTAGGGTTTGGGGTTTAGGGTGGAGACCTGTGAGGAGGTTCGAATTTCGTGGGTTGTGTCCGTTCAAGGTTCAGGAATCCCAGGCTCCAACCGGCTCTGGAATGGGATCTCATTAAGGAAAAAGGCCCAGATAGTGCTCCACCTCCAAAAACAATTCTATCTCCAACGGGATCTCCAAAAACGGTGCCCTAATTTTCCATAAGATTAGCATTTGAGGAGTCCTCCTAAACCCTCAACACTGAACCCCGAAGCCAAAAACCTCCACAATTTTGAAGGAAGTGTTGGGTTGTCGAGTTTGGGTTTTTTCTCTA